ACGCCAGGAGGACAGGGGGAATACAGAACAATAGGACATGCTAATGTTTAGCGTTTGGTCCTCTATTATCATGCTAACATGGTCCATGAATGTCAGGCTTTGGTTTCAAGGGCGGTATCACTAGAACTGATGTTATTTGGCGAAATTAGTGCCGACAGCATTACGGAACAGAAGAGGACCAAGTAAATTCTTATATGGTCAAATTTACTGTTAAAATAAAAAAGTTTAAAGAAAATAACAAGTCTATAAAATTGACTGACGATGTTTAAACTAACACACAAGGCTTGCTTTACCTGTATCACGTTCCAAAGTTCAGTCAAACTGAATTAAGTGTGGCGTTAAGTCAGAGCTGACTCTTCAGGTGGCTGCTCACTTTTTCTTGATGCTAGCGGCTCAATGCTACATCAGTTGCCACTTGTTTATCATATCTACATTTCTTCAGTCAGTTGTCAACTTACATTTTCAGATGTGTGAGAATCTGGTCTTAAGAAAAACAGTCAAAAATCTGAAGAAACAGAAATGGTTTATTTATTTATAAACCATTTCTGTTTCTTCAGATTTGTTTTCAAACTGTCCTTTATTAGTTACAGACTGTATATAACCACCATGACATTAACATTTGGTTTGTGAAGGATTGATATTTGTATTGTGGTCAATGCCATGTGGGGTTTTTGGAGGCAGAAGTGATAATATTTGGATGGAGGGTGTATTGCTAAAAGCTAGCTAGCTTGGTTAGCAATATGTATCCATAAACTGAATGGAGCCTCACACAGACACAGAAAGACAATTAGTGCTAAAACTTACATACAAAATACTAGAATTCAACTCAGCAAATCATTAGTAACCAGATAAATAAACCCAAAAAGGTTGAGTAATCCAGTTTTGTTGGTTGAAATAGCATAGTTAATAACTTTAAGCCTTAATGAAATTCAAATTGATCCTTTATAAGAACATCAGCATAAAAGATTATATTAGCAATATAGACAAATAGTTTTTCATGCCCGGCTGTCAACAGGTTTATTTCTGCTGTAAAGTTGGACTTTTTTCCAGAGTCTGTGGGGATTGACTCACTTTTAGACCCACTCCCAAGGGACTCCTTGAGGAAATGCAGTTTTTGGCACCAGCTCACTTGGCTTAATTTTTCAGCCACAGATGTTTATCAGACAGTATTGCACACGACCACAAAGCTAAATCACCGGAGGACCTTTGAACAACTGTCTGACAGCCAGCAAAGAACATGCCAAATGTGGTTCACTGTAAATAGAGAAAAGCTTTTTGTCATGTGATAATAGTTCCTTCAACAAATCACTCACAGTTGGGTTCTTTTGCCTCAATAGAGGCTAACAGCCATAAAAATGCCAGAGAAATATACTGTGGTGAGGCAATCACACAGTTCACATGAGGTGTAAGAGTGTGTCATTCACTGTCCCCCATAGGCCGGCGATAATCCCGTTGGCGTTTTATGATCGCCTAAGTGCGTCAGACTGTTTCCATTCCAAACGGATCCTCCAGCCACCTTGTTTCTGTACTCTTACTCCACATATCCAGAGCTCTTTGCGTCCTGGAAAGAGACAGTCGATCATTGGCTGTTGACCAGAGGCAGGGGGAGTGTCACTGAGTGTGAGTCTGCTGAATACTCATATTCAGCAGAGGCAGTTGGATAGGATCCTGTCCACATCTATTTGCTGTGATTACAATTTACACTGTGAGGTCTTGACTGTGAAGTTTGGACGGGGTAAATGTCACACACCCTGATCTGGAAGCTATTGAAATAAATGTATTTTTCAATGAAATTATACATACATACATACATACATACATGTTTTCTGACATTTAATCATTTATTCATGGAAGCAGCAAGGTAAACAGCCAGAATCGTATCAAACTACTTGCCTGGGTGATGAAATTGTTTAGAAACTGAAATTTTAATTCATGAGACCATAAGTAAGCAGGGTGATTGGATCACAGCAAAGTAAATGTAAAGCAAAGGGATGTATCGTGTAAAACATGACCAAACTATGCAGGTTAAAGGTTTAGCATTGATCATAAGAAGAACAAATAATCAAAATTTTTATTTAAATTCAAGTGGAAGCTAAGGTTTGATTGTAATCTAGTGTTACTAGTATCACTCCTACTTGCTTGTCCACTATTTCTGCTGCATTGATTGTTAAAACAACTCTTATTTTAGCAGATGATCTCTGCTAAACACCTCTGGGTTTCAGTAAGGATGTTTCCATAAGCCTATTTGAATCACACGCTTCTTGTGAAACTCACAAGTTTTAAACTTAAACCAGTAAAAATGTGGAACATTGTCTCAGTGTGTGCTATGTAGAACAAAGCATGCAATGCTGTGTGATCCAAGCAGACTTAACCACCCTGCCTATATGCAAGTAAACTCAAACTCAAAAACTGTGTAATTGTGACCTCTAGTGGCTCTACATCATAGCATAGGCTGCTTTGAACACTTGAAATGTGCATCAGTATGTTTTGCTACACTTAAAATTCCAAATAGTTTAGAAATTTATTTGCAATCTAAATTTCTAAACATCTCCAAGCTTAATTTGACCAACCAGCTGCTCTTTGTAGTCACCTGTAGCATCATCATGCAGGTGTAACACAGTCCCTGATCAATAACCTGAAGAAAACTGAAACTGCAGAGTTTTAAATCTTCAGTTTCCTCCAAGTCTGGTTGCGGTGGGATAAATTCATCCATGAGAAATCAATATATAAAAACTTTCAGCAAAGAGGTCGTCAACACACATTTTGAACTCTACAATTCGTCTGGATGGTATTTTCCTCTCAGCTTCATATTAAATTATAAAAAGTCACTAAACAAAGGACATTAATTATTTTCCTCTGTCTGGTTAAGTCTTACTGTTCAGCAGCATAATTCAGTTAAAATCTGTAACATGAAGTACTACTTCCAGGTAATAAACGAAATAAAACAAAAAAAACCATTTACTACAACTGCGATTAATATCATTTGGTCACAGACACACACACTGACTGAAGTCACCTTTTACAGGGCTTAATTTGCTCCGTCAGTTATGGGAATTAATTTCAAACAATGTCTAAAATTCAGTCAGAGTGAATAAACATTACACTTCTTCCTCTTTCAGTCGCTCCCTTAGTGGACACCACAGTAGATCACCATCCAGTCTCACCCCGTCCCTACTATCCTCCTCTGTCACACCAACCCTCTGCATGTCCTTTGTGTGTGACATATACTTACTAACTTCGTAAGTCTCACTTAAAACCCTGAACAAGCAAATTTTCTTTCAGTGCAATTTTCCAGAATCAAATAATGGAAACTTTGGTTGGTTTCAACCAACCAATACTCCTACTTGTGCTTTTTATCCAGTTTTTATCCAAAAATATTATTAATTGTCTGTATCTTTGGTATTTGGTAAGATTGCATCCAAAGAAACAGAACATCTCTTGTTGAACTACATTTTGTGAAGGATATGATCTGAAAACTTAACAGTATTATATTCTAAAACCTCCAAAACTGTAAACAAAAAACATCCATAGACCTTTTATTTAGAATTGCATTTACATCTACATTTTATTTTTCATATTTCACACATGATTACAGGCTATAATTCTACCAAGTTGGAAAAGCCATATTCTACCTGATGCTCTTTGTAGGCAACGCCTTCACACTGCAGCATCGGGAAATGCTGCTCTGAGGAGATCTTTTAGTGAGTTTAAAATCCAAAAAGGCGTGATTGGACATCAGTGAGGAAAGAGGTTAAGAAAAACACTTTGAGTAGTAATAAATATCAGAAAAATGTAAACCAAGCAAAAGGAGAATTTACACAGCAGCAACTAAACTTCATGATGGTACAAAAACACAGGAGAGATGCAAAAATGGAAACTTCTCCTTGCAAGTGTTCTCTGGTGTACAGTTAAACCTACAAAAGAAACAAAAGTCAAAGGAGCTTGCAAAGTCCATCTGCATCTTAAGGATAAAGGACACTCTTTCGAGGATGCCAATGTTCACATTTTGGACAGAGAGGACAGATGGTTTGAAAGAGGAGTGAAAGAAGCCATCTATGTCCACTGTGAGCGACTATCTTTGAACAGAGGCGGGGGTTTACGACACCAACTCTCTGCCATCTATAATCCAGTTTTGAGATCCCTTCCCAGACGCCTTAACGCCCACTCACATCCTGGACCATCTGACCTCAGGAATTTGCATGATAAGGTGGGGCCAGGTTTCACAATGAACACACCCGAAACTCTGGCTGATTGGGACCCACGCCCAGTTTCCCACCTTGGCTCAGGCGATTAGAGGATCATCAGGGGGTCCTTTTGTCCCTCTGTGGGGGGTCACTCCCACTAGGTTTATATCTGGGACTCTCCACCATTTGACATTAGAACTGAAGAAGCTTCTCGGATGAGAGGTGAAACGTCTTCAAGCAACTTAAAGAAGTCCAGACGCTTTTCTTTGCAAGCTCCTTTGACTACGATGACCTGGATGACTGAGAACCTTCACAGACAAAAGAAACAAAAGTAACCTGGAAGCACCTGTCATGGTGACAAATGTGCAAGTGTAAGGATTTATGTGAGTGTAACAAGGCCCAAGTTGTAATGGAGTATGGAGAGAAAGTTGCCTCAGAAGGGTTACAAATGGGTACAGACGAATCTGCAAGCATGAACTAAGACTTATAAATGTGTGCAGTAATTTGTGTGTAACTTTTGAGGACTCACAAGCACGCACTTCAACAAATGTGTACTTCCAAATCTGAATAAATACTGATTATTTACACAATTTATTAAGTTCAGCTTCACGAATTGTGTCAGTTGTGTTTTGGCAGCAAAATAGGGACCAACACAGTATTAGGCAGGTGGTCGTAATGTTGTACCTGGTGTATGATTTAAATATAGAACATTGGTTTGTATCATAAAAACATAAAATACGTCTCAGTTACAAACAATGTAAATAAGTGTTTTTGACAGTACAGTACAAGTGACCCAGAAACTCAATGGAAAAAGTCTTTGTCCTGGAATTTTAAAAACAGCTTTCACCATATAAGCATATTTGATATTTGACTGCATTGTACAGAACAGTTTTTGCTATAATATGCATTTTAAAACATTAGTTTACTTATATATAATTCATTGTAAAACAATTTTAACTCATCAGAAGAATTATTTTGAAGTGACACAATCTTCCATTCACTTTAATCAGATTAATTTGATCTTGTCTAATAAATTTCTGCCCTTATTGACAGGCTACCAACTTTGATGTTCACTGCTCAAAAATATTAAAGGACAGCATCAAACTATGAGTGGCAGTAGAAGAAGTCTATGAGTAGAGACCCTGGACACTCATATTAAACCCCTTAAGATTGTGTTCTCTCCGTGCATGTCCTACTGGGAGGAGGCCCTGGGGTAGATTATGAAGAGTCTCCACTATAGCAGAATACAACATTACCCAAGAGGGGAAAACTTGTAGTGATGGATTACTGTTTCAACGGGGATGGAAAGCACAGTCAGAATAACCAATGTGTATTCTGCTATTAAATTAGAGCTCAGCAATTATTAATGGATAACCTGGATATTAGTAGGATACTTTTAAATGGTTTGAAATGCTATGCACTGAAACTACAGCAACATAGTTTTATTATTACTGAAAGAAAAATGTTTAAAAAGCAGTGTGAGAAGTAGTTTCATTTTATTCCATTAAACACTCAACTTTTGTGAAACTTCATGTGTGCTGTAACATCTGTGTTCTCTTCAGTAGTAGTTAAAACTCTACTAACAATATAAACATATTTCATGCTGTCACCTGGTGCCCATACATAGCTATAACACGTATACAACCAATCTCAGTGTATCATCTACAAACTACCAAGACAAAATCATTTCACATGCTTCATTTTTAATTCCTTAAGATTTAGTATGAAACTCTGAGGATAGTCTTTACTTCAGTGCCCTGTTTTGAAAAGCAGAAGGGTATATCTCACACAGTTACATCAAAATTGTGGGAATGTGCAAGTGTGTATATACACTGCTCAAAAAATTAAATTCCCTTTACCATTATTTAATTTCATCCTAGCTAAAAAAAAATTACATATGATCTGATCTCAGTTACTTTATAATGTTTTTCAGTTGTGGATACGTTGCATCAACTTCAGGATCTTTAAGAATCTGGAGAAACTGATCGGAGGTCTCTTCACCTTTACTCATCAGAAGATCTATCAGGTTGGTAACAGTTTGTTCTGGGTTAGAGGAGTGCTTCAGATTTCCATATTGTCTGGGAGAGAGGATTCCTTTGGCATGCACACACTGCAGAATAAAGACATCCCCCATCAGGCAGTTAATGAGTTCCACCTTGTGCTCCTTGATCTTTCTCACAGCAGGACCCTGAAAAAGATGACAGTGTATTGTTGATTAGTCTGAAGTAAATGTATTTTTTTTTTCTAGGCATTTGTATAAATTCTTGATTTTTTTTCTTTTTTTCACTGGTGCCATGTATTCCTCTTTTATCCATGCCAAACTACATTATTAATTACATTTAAAGGAAAATATTTTTCCAGCAAAATACTGAAAGACTGAAAAGTCCAGGTGAGGAGGCTTAATTCACAAAACTTCAGTCCAGAAAAAACAAATTCACCTGTGTGATTAACTGTTTTCACTATTTTTATTATGGAAATGTTATTTATAAAATTTATAAAAAAACTCTATATATTCACTTGCTGAATACAGAAGGTGTTCCACCATGTTGTTGTGTTAAATCAAAAGTCAAAACAGTCCTCTCCCAGGAGATTTTAGAGCATGCTTCCACCTGCTGACAAGCTTTATGGAAATGACAATTTCATTTTTCAGCAGGACTTGGCACCTGACCACAGTGCCACAACTCCTATTAAATGACTTGCCAACCGTGATACTATTGTGCTCGACTGGCCAGCCAACTCGCCACACCTGCACCTCATCTTTGGGATAACACCAAACGGAAGTTGAGAAACACCCAAATCAACAGAGAACTGCGAAGGTCACTACCAGGCTTTGGGAACACTCAGCTGAGCTAAATGCCACCCTGCACTGAGCCACTTATTTTGAAGCAGCTCCAACCATGTACCGAGTGGATAAATGCACTCTTTTGTAACAAATCCTTTTTTGACTGACTTTAGACAATATTCTAATCATTTGAGATGCTCTAATTTGTGATTCTTAATGAGCTTTGACCTAAAATTATCACAAAAAGCTTGAAATGTTTCACTTTACATGTTATATCGGTCGAATTTACCTTTTAGAATGAAATGACAAAAATGAACATTCAAATTTTTATATGTTTACAATGATACACTGAGGAGGGCAAATCAGTCTTCTCAGGAAGAATAAACCATGCCCTATAACCATGCCAGTACCGTGGCACATTTAGGAGAAAGAGCTGCATAAGGTAACAAATTCTAAAAACAAAAAATACACTTTGACCTCACAAGTGATTGTGTGCCAGATCATTGGCCAACTAAGAAAATATTACAATTGTTCATTTGAGGTAAGACCTACTATGTGCAATATTTACTAAAACTGTAGGATATCCGTTTTTTTCCCCTGTTTGTGTAGGAAGCATAACTTTAACTTCAACTGACTTATCCCAAAACCATCAATACCATCTTGTGTCAGTGAACACCTCTATGTGTGTTCTTGCCAGTAACACTATTCTTGTACTGTACCTCAGGAGGTGGCTGTGTGTCCTCTACCATACCTGAGAAAAACCATCAGGAATTACTTACTTTCCAAAAGTCTTTTTTTAATCTTGCATAATTTGATTTATGAATTACAGACTAACAAAAAGCAACAACAATAATTACACATTTAAGGTCAAAATATTACCTGTGTTTTCTTGTGGTGCATTCACACTCACTGAGAAATTTATACACTCATCAACATGGACACCTGATATTTTATCAGCACATATAACACCGCCGCCACTTGCAGTGAGATCTGCTTGGGGTTTAATATTTCCTGTAAGAAGCAGAAAAAATAAGAAGAAAAAATTAATTTCCAGCTTGTTGTAATAAAATCTATATAAAAAGACTCAAACTGAAAACAAACTTGAAATATGTTTGAAAATAGCTACTGACTCAACTGAAATACAGCAAAATAGCTGTTTCACTGCTTGTATAATAATGAACTACTACCAAACCAAATTAACTTCAAATTCACTCAAATCGTTTTTATTCCCTATCCTGATGCTTGGTTTGAGCTTCAGCAGCTTGTCTTGAACATGTCTACTTGCCTTAATGCACTGAGATGCTGCCATGTGACTGACTGAGTAGATGTTTGTATTGACAAGCAGTTGAAAAGGTGTACCTAATATAAAGTGTTAATGAGTGCATTTAATGGTTTCCCTTATATGATTCCACATAGAAAAAAATATAAAAAACCTCTTACCAGACAAACTGCTGTCTGCCGGCTGGCTTACTGTTTGAATGTTAATTGAAATGTTTTTTGCAGTTGTGTTTGTAATTTCTCTGCAGGACACAACACTGCTACCATCAGCAAACATGCTTGGAGTGGATGAACCTGGAACTATAAAATAGACATATATATGAATAATGTAATCTCAGCTTTCCTTTGGTGGTAATCTCACAGGCCGAGGCTCATTTTCGGCCCAGACCACACGGGACTTTCACACACCTTCAGCTTCAGTGACGAAAAACTGCTTCAGTTGTGGGAAGTGTCCTTGGTGCTTCCTCAGAGTGTCAATAAAGTTCTGACAGGTATCTTCTCCTTTTTGAATGATTATTTCCAAAAGTTCTCTCATCTGCTCTGAACCACTGCTTTGCTTTATTACCTTTTTATATTCATTCACGGATAGGATATCCCCGCAGTGCGCCAGGATGTACTCAGGGTCACTCGAAAGCCATACGCACAGTCTGTTGAGCTGTGAGTTTAGTTTGTCCGTGGCCTGAAATAGTGCAGACATACTTTGTGGAATTCAACGTTTTTCTTGAGCATGACACAGACTTTAACGCAGTTCGTGTGAGAGACTCAGACTTGTTTGTCCGGATGTGGGTCTGCGTGCATCATACATAGTGAGCTTTTTTTTTTTTTTTTTTTTTTTTTAGCGGTGTTACTATTTCCGAACTTTGAACGGTTTTATCTTTGGCGTAAAATGAAAACTATTCAAACGGAATCGAAAGTGTTTTACTGGGTTAGCGTAATATCAAGGGTCACGTGCTCTGCCCGATTAGGTACTAAATGAATAAACTCAAAACCTCACAAGTAAAGATTCTGGTACCATGCTGGGAAGAAGCTTCTTCTGCTATAATGGTGCCTTTAAGGACTTCTCTTAAAATATGTGCCACATATGGAATAGATTACATGGCAATAGATTGCGTAATTTTCTGTGCGTAAAGGACCAAGCCGTTTACGCCTCTGTACATGCAAACTATTTACAGAGCCTTTACAGAGTAGTGTTGCGGGAATTGCCATCTTGTGTGTGACTGGGTGCAGTAAGGAGTGTATGTGTGTGTGAGCATGCGCGTGAAGGAAACGCGGGGAGCGAAAGAGGAGAAAAAGAGAGAGAGTGTGTCATGGGTAGAGAGGGCGACCGGGAGCAGCAATCTAACGGGCTACAGGCTATGCAGTGTGTTTTCGAAGTGTGCAGTACTGTTATTAAAGCCTCATCTCTTCAGTGCCTCGGCTGATTTCTGTCTGTCTCACTACTCCACAAAAGTGAAGGGAGTTAACCCCGAAGGAGGATAAACTTCGGCCCTGGAGGAAGCATCTCCCCTCGCGTCTCCCGACCACGGTCAGGGGACTGACGGCGAGGAATGGTTACAGTAGTATGTATAGGCTAAAATAAAACCGATGTTTCTTAATGCATATCAAGTCGAAATAATATAACTGGTAGAATTACATGGACTGCATTACATGGCAAATACGTGCTGCTTACCTTTGTTGACAGAAATTCAGTCATGACTTGACTCTAAAGCGAGCGATTAAAGTTTAGCAGGAAAAGGAAGGGCCAGGGCTTCTTGTGGTTGTCGTTCTGTGAAATAAAAAAAGTTTCGTTACTTCCTGATTCTGTTGACGTGGCATGCAAACACATCGACAGGCATGCGAACTACAACAGTATAATACTGGTAACACACAGGCAGCATACTCACATGCCCAGTTAGGATCCCAGCTGGCCCATCTTTAGTTTTCCCCATTGTAAATAAGATGTGAGACAGTTTAGGTTCAGACTACTTTATGAAATCAAACTGAACACAACTTAGAAATCTTGAGAAAATAAACAGCCTGCTTCATCAGAATGGCCTTGTTGATGATGTGACCACATGCTGTTTTTGGAGTTTAAAAAATGTCATAAATGTGCTTAACTCCGGCTGAGCATACTCAGAACTGACTGAGCTGACTGATCAGCTGCTCAGAGTGAGGCTGGGTTTGTTAAGGTGCTTTCTGAAAGTCCAGTTTTATTCTAATTTTACATTTTGCAAAATAATCCAAGAATCAGATTGTGCTGTGTTTGGCTATTGATTGATTTATTGCGTAGTGTTAATTACTCGTTTTTGTTGTTTTGAGGTTTCTCTTCTTTTAAGGTGAAATTAGAATCAGCAGACTAACTGGTGGGTTACAACTGTGGTCAAGGTCTCTGTTGCTCAGACTGGTATCGAATCCTATCAGAGCTCAGCTGCTTATGTGAATTATGAAATGTACCAATCACGCTGCCTCTTTCTAACTCCCTGTTTCATAAATGTAGATTCTACCTTATGTCAGGTACATGGCGGGTTACAAAGGTGAGCTTCATGAGTCTGATCCCTTCTCTCGGTGTGCATTGTTGCTCCTTGTTGCAAATATGTGCAGTGTTGAGCCACCTTCTCTTTCTTTATATGTTGCTAAGAAAATGGGAAGTAGGTGCAGCAAGCATTTTTCTGCCTTCTGTTCTGTCCTCCTGCAAGATGACACTGCTTCAATAGTGTTGAGGTCCATGTAGGTGATATTAAGGTGTTTTATAGTTGTAGATGCTCACTGTTGTACCTCTCTCCTCTCCGTATAAGTTGGCACTTTGAACTAAAACAAACATCACAACATAAAACTTGTTGGACTAATTTTCAGAATAGTTCTTGTGTAAAATTGCATACCTCAGCCTTTTCTCAAGAATGGCTCCTTCCACTGCAACCATTTCTGATGAGGTTTTAGTGAAAAGCAGATAGAACAACTGAAAGGACAGATGCATCTCAGGACCTTATTTTTATCTTGATTCCTAGTTTAGCAGCCTAAAACATCATCTGAGAATGGTCGGATGTATGAGACTGGATTGAAAATGAGTGAAAATGCAGCCAATGTCCAAAAAAAAGGAAAAATAACACGAAAGTCTGGCTCCTTGGGACATCAGCCAGTGATGGTTTCTAACAATTGGCTCAAAATTGTGAATGTATATGTTCTGAATTATATCTATAACTCAGCATTTTTAGAATAGAGAGAGTGATGAAAGGCAAAGGCAAAATGTTTTAACTTGTTTTTCTGTTTCTGTTTTAGCAGTTTAGCTGTTTTCAGATCTGTAATTTTAAATCGAACATATTATGACCACCCTTACTTTAAACCTTTCCTTTGTGTGTTTCAGGGCTTTAGTGGCTTGAGCCAAAAGGCAATATCTGGGCTCTGTATTGGCCCTTTCTTCTTCCTTCCTGCTTCACATGGACCTGTTTGCCCTCACACCCTGTGTTCCACTTGTTTTTCTATTGCTATTTGTAATTCACTGTATTTACAACACTCACATCTCCACACACATGCATACCCTAAAGGAGTGTTCACCTTTTGTCATGGCTCAAAGTTGCCAGGTTGTGACAGTACTGGCTATTATCGAGGTGTTAGCTAGCACTGTTGCTTCCCAGCAACAAGACTGAATCCAGCCTGGAGCCTGTCTGTGAGAGCTCTGGCTTGTCTTTTTGGTACATGGGTTCCTCCCACAGTCCAAACACCTGCATGGGGTTTGTTCCACTGGTGATCCTGAACAGGCTGAGAGTGTGAATGTTTGTCTGTCTCCGTGTTAGTGCTGAGACTGATTAGTGACCTGTCCCGGGTTTACCCCACCTCCCACTGTGACTTGAATAAGTAGAAAAAAATGGATGCATGTATTTTTCCTGCATTAACACAGAAACAAACATGTGGATTTACACGACTTCTCCCTCTGATTTTCCCTCTGATAAACAAACAAAATCTTTTAAACATCACCAGGTTCCGGTATTTTATATCACATTAGCAATTTACATGAAAACAGAAATATGTAACACAAAATAAATGAATATACAACATCTTACTATAATATTATACATTAGTCTTTGAGTGCATACACATGTTAGAAGCTGTTAAAAGCACATGTATTGTTACATCCACAGCGAACGATCACCAAGTCCATACGCTCTGTTGTGAAATGTGGACTCTTCTAGATGTACAGTAGCTGAAATGCAGACATTATGAGGTCTTATGGCAGAAATGCACTGAATCTCATGAATAACATACATAATTCCCCTGTGATACAAACGTGATGCTGTTCATTAACAAACTTGGAGCGATATGGGTGATAAGGCTGTTAGAGATGAGTCACTGTGCAGACGTATGTTTACTGCTCGATGCGCTTTTGACAAAAGTAGCGTTTCGCTCCAGCGTTACCGCCCTCCTGCCAGACGTCTGGTTCAGTTCACTCATGTCCACCCCAGAGTCTAAACTGGTCTCTCGACTCTCGACTGGTCTCCGTCTCCTCTGTTGCTCTGACACAGCGTAATGGATCTCAGCTGCAGGCTTGCCCTCCAGTGAGACAAACCAGGCCCGAGGAGGCTGAAGTGAGGAGATATTGGATTGTCCATGCACCGAGTGCCTGCTGTCCAAGATTTTATGTAACGTCCCGGGCACTGACACTGACTCTGGGAGCCTGGATGTGTTGGTGGAGGTTGCTGTCTGGGAGCCACCTGAAGCTCCAAGCTTGTCTTCAGTTTCTGCTGCCTGGTGCTGGGTCTCAGGCGGACCTTTTGTCTGTGTCTGGGTGAAGTTTTCTTTACTCAAAGGCTCTGTGGCAGCACCATTTGAAGCCCCTGCACGGGGCAGGGTGGCTGACTTGCTCCACTGGGCCTCCTCTGGTTGCTCCTCTAAATGGAAGAAAGCTGGAGTGTGAAGAATTGCAACAGGCTGGTTGTAGAAAAACAAATTATCTGTCAGAGATACAGAAACTCTTTGTTCTGAAGTCTTGTGTGAACACGTCAAATCGTTCAGGTCCGTGTTCAGATCATTCTCCAGCATAATGGCCACAGCACTGGTGTTGGCTATGAAAGAAGCATTGTGTCTACTGTCCCTCTTTTCTTCAGGTTGCTGGTCCTGTGAATGAGAAGCTTTCCCTTCAAAGAGATCATCATCACATGTCGAAGTTTTTTGGTCTTTTGTCGTCACTGGTAGGATCTTTGCTGCTTTAGTTTCACCAGAGGAACACCTGCAGGTAAACCAGGACATTAGTAAATGATTATTTGGGTAAATTTAAGATTAATTTTTTATTCTTTAAAGGAATACGCCACAGAAAACTATCAACAGCTCGTCCCTGATAGTCCTATTGAGCCCAGCAAGTGTGTAAAGGGCAAAGGTTTATGATACACGCGTCATTACCTGTATTATTACCCATCTTGCCTCAATGATTACCGCCCAGTAGCACTCACCCCCATCATCACTAAGTGCTTAGAGCGACTGGTCCTAGCACACTTCAAATCCTGTCTCCCCCCCACCCTGGACCCCCACCAATTCGCATACCGCCGGAACAGGAGCACAGAGGATGCAGTCTCCATCGCAATGCACTCTGTCCTCTCACACCTGGACAACAACAACACCTACGCCAGAATGCTGTTTATAGACTTCAGTTCAGCATTCAATACAATCCACCCCTCACAACTCATCAGGAAACTGACAGACCTGGGTATCAGTTCCCTCATCTGCAAATGGTTACTGGACTTCCTGACCAACCGCCCCCAACATGTCCGGCTGGATAACCGCTGCTCATCTACCATCACAATGAACACCGGTGTACCACAAGGCTGTGTGATGAGCCCTTTCCTCTACTCCCTCTTCACCCACGACTGCAGACCTGCTGATGGTTCCAACACCATCATTAAGTTTGCAGATGACACCACGGTGATTGGCCTCATCAGTGACAACGATGAGGCCGCCTACAGGGAGGAGGTGGATCGTCTGGCTGAGTGGTGCGACAGAAACAACCTGCTGCTTAACACCGAGAAGACCAAGGAGCTCATCGTGGACTACAGGAGGAATGCTGACCCACATCCACCCATCCACATTAAGGGGACGGCTGTGGAGCGTGTGAGCAGCTTCAAGTTCCTGGGAGTCCACATCTCCGAGGATCTCACCTGGACGACCAACTGCTCCAAGCTGGTCAAGAAGGCTCACCAGCGCCTCTTCTTCTTGAGGACTCTGAGGAAGAACCACCTGTCCTCAGACATCCTGGTGAACTTCTATCGCTGCACCATCGAGAGCATCCTGACCAACTGTATAACAGTCTGGTACGGGAACTGCTCTGCCTCGGACCGGAAGGCGTTGCAGAGGGTCGTGAAAACTGCCCAGCGCATCGCCGGAGCACCACTTCCTGCCATAAAAGACATCTACAGGAAGCGGTGTCTGAAAAGGGCTGGGAAAATCATCAAAGACCCCAGTCACCCATCACATGGACTCTTCACCCTCCTGCCCTCTGGGAGGCGCCACAGGAGCCTCCGGACTAAGACCACCAGGTACCGGAACAGCTTCTTCCCCACAGCTGTCAGACTCCTGAACTCTGCCTCCTCACATCTGACCCACGTTAAACTCATGGACTGAACATACACACCCCCACAATGGACAACTGTACCCTCAAACACAATAATAACATGGACTGAACCACCACTCACAACCACTAGCACTTTATATAGCCTCTGTAGAAACTATCTACACCCTCACTTATCTTAACTGCACTACTGTATAGCTCTGTGTAAATAATCATTCTGT